GGCTGGAGACTCTTGCTACTTCTCATTTTGCAATTCTCCAAATGAGAATATCTTAGTTTTCCCAGGGGTGGATTCAGTTACTGTGGGATCTCAAGCTTGTAAAAGTGTGTAGGGGATGAAGGAAGAATATCATTAAGAAAAAATATAAATTACAAATACAAAATCACCAGGGATTCTCCCGGGGCCTTGAAAGAGGCCCCTGTAAGTAAGAAGCCAACTTAAACCTCATTTGCTTCATGATAAATCCACTCCTGTTCATCTGCAAAATATAGCAAAGAGACTTGGAGTATATTGCATGAGCACATTGAAAAATAATTCACTGCTGATTGATTCACGAAAATGTAAAATGCCCCACAAGTGTTTAATTATCTGAACTGTGTGTGCTTTTCACGGAAAAGAAACAGCTGATGAGAGATGGAGCGAGCAAGCCACTGAGGTTAATGCACAGAGAATGACCCTGGCGTGCTCTTCCCAGCAGAGCTGACTGAGCTGCTGACACAGACCCAGGAGGACATATTCTCAAAACTTGGCTGCAGTCAGTCCTTGGAGGGGATCGCATCCCAGTGTGGCCTCGCTTATCAGACTTACTCTTTCTCTTTAGCGATACAGAACAAGGGAGCCAGGGGAAACCTGTACCACAAAATTAGTTGTTCTTTTAACCAAGCAACAAAATGGAGTGCGAAAGACAGTCAATCCTGAGGGCTACAGCTAACGCCTGTGTCGTTTGAAAAGATCCAGGAGCCACAAGAAGGTTCCCAGAAAATTTTTTCTTGGAGGTTTTCAGACTTCTCAAATTATGATGTATCTAGTGAAAGCAATAAGGCAACAAAAAAGAGAAAATACAAGAGGAATGAGGAAGAAAGAGGGAAGAAGTGAAGAGAGAAAAGGGAAAGGAATATGGGGTAGAGAGTGGAAGAGAAAGAGGAGCAAAGGACTAAGAAGGTCACAGTTTTTAGCTCTAGTGGAGCCAGAGGCCTAATTGCTTCTGGACCTTTTAACATCATTTTAATATAGAGTAGGACCCAAAGTATTCATACAAACCTAGGTAGGGGAAGTGCTGATACAGGATATGCCTTTGTTATACGCTGATAATCAAAGGGCCTTCACCCCTACAGTTCTCTAGTTTGGTTGCCAGTCTATCCAAAAATTTTACATCAGGAATAGCCTTTCTTACAGACAACAATACTACGGCACGGTTCCCAACTCAACCCGGAATGCCGCTGTACTGCCTGCCTTACAAATCCAAGCCGTCCTCCAGGCCTCACCTTCTATCACCTATTTCCTCCCACCCCCGCCACCTCATTCCTTGCTGTCTTGCTCTCACCCATACTTTATTAACCTTCTCATTTTTTGTATTTTTCTCTACCTAGCCCCATTGCTTCAACGAAACAGATCCTTGTCTGACATATTTTATTACAACATATTGTCATTTCCTGATGACTTATGTATTCCCCCATGTCCTGCAAGCTCCAAAAGGTTTATTGTGTATTAGGTAGCACCTATCACAGTGGATGACATACGGCAGGATCAATATTTCCTGGAAAAATGAATGGCAAGCATCTACCTGTGTGCATATATGCTCTTCTTTACTGAAGACTCCTATGGCTTGTGCTTAGTAGGCTACTTTTCTTTAAAATCCTGCTTAAAGTTTGTCTTTTCTAGAACATTTTTAGAAATGCTTACTTCTCACAATCTCACACACACTCCTGATTCTTAATTTTGGAAGCTTCTACGTGCTTTCTTTGTTTTCCTTCTATGAAGTAGCTTGCATCAAAACTAAGGACCAAGAAAGGTTGTACTAAAATTATTTATCTACTTGAAAATATCAGAGAACAACCAGAAAAATTAGGATATAAGAGGCCAAGACCCCAGAAAGAAGGGGATTTTTCTGATATGACCCCCAACATTCACCTCAGAGCTATGTAGTTTTTTGGCATGTTTTGCTGTGGGTCAGAAGCCAGGCAAAGGGTGGTATCTAAGAGACAGAGGAGACAGCCGAGCTTTCAACAACCCTCTGGAACTAGGAAGGAGAAAATGCAAGTTTGTGGCTGCCAGTGCATCCAGGATTTGTGTAGTCCAGGCTCTGAAAGAAAGGACATGCAAAGAAGTGGAGGTGGTTTCCCCTGCAAGGCATTTGGTGACTGAATGAAAGGCTTCAAAACCAGGTTAATACCATCTGAAAGTCAAGGTGGAGTTTTTAGTAGCCTCTTAGCCCCAGAGAGACCAAAATCAGAGTCCAGGATAGACCCTATTATACAGCCAAGATCTCATCCGAGAACACTGAAGGAACCTCTAGGAGTAGGACGAAGTCATGAGTAATGTGAGGTTTGCTTAGTTCCTAACTGTACTGAGATGAAGTGTCCCTGATCTAACAGCCTGTCAGAGGATAGGGTAAACTCTCTCTAAAAGAAGACAACATCGCTCAGAGCCTCTCCAGTTCTCCATATACAATGTCTCTAGCAAGCAATAACAATGTACTAGGAATAAAAAAAATTGAAGGACAAAGCAGAAAAACAGAAAAGAGAAACAGACCCACAGGTAAATTAGATACCGGTATTCTCAAACATTGGTTTGACCACATACAGGAAAACTAAAAATAAGATGGAGAATTTTACCAAGCACTAGAATCTATTTTTTTAAATAATTAAATGAGAATTATACAAATGGTATTAAGATTGCAATAAGTGTATTTAACAGATTGTTGACATTGCTGAAGATTACTTCACAAAAAGTCGAGTCAGTCATAAACATACAAGCTAAATCAGAGATGGATAAAGAGTGTAGAATAGTAAAAAAGCAGAAGACAAAACTCAAGGGAAAGGTCTCATATCTTTATAACTGGAATACTAGAAGGAGGTAAGAGAATGGAAAAGAAGCAATATCAGAAGAGAAAATGATAATTTTCTAAAACTTTTGAGAGATTCAAGAAATCCTAGATTCTAAGAAACTGGCCATGTATATATATACACACACACACATACCTAGACACATTATAGTAAAACTACCAAACACTAAAGGAATCTTAAAAGCTGCCTTATCAAAAGACTCGTTATAGGAGCAAAAATTAGGCAGACAGAAGACTTCCCCAGAGAAACAATGGAAGCTAAAAGACAAGAGAATGACATCTTTAAAGTGTAGAGAGAAAATATTTGGCCTAGTTCAGTGGCTCACCCCTGTAATCCAAGCACTCTGGGAGGCTGAGGCAGGTGGATCACAAGGTCAGGAGATTGAGACCATCCTGGCTCACATGGTGAAACCCCATCTCTACTGAAAGTACAAAAAAAGATTAGCCAGGCGTGGTGGCACATGCCTGTAGTCCCAGCTACTCGGGAGGCTGCAGCAGGAGAATCACTGGAACCCAGGAGGCAGAGGTTGCAGTGAGCTGAGATTATCCCACGGCACTCCAGCCTGGGGGACAGAGTGAGACTCCATCTAGAGAGAGGGGGGGAGGGGAGGAGAGGAGAGTAAATACTTGCCACTCTAGCATCGATCACCTGAGAAAATAGCCTTCCAAAATGAAAGTAAAATGAAGACCTTTTGAGTCAAATAAAAATTTAGAGAATTTTCCCCTTTGTAGACTGCACTTACAAAAGAGAGAAGAAGAAAGAGGAAGGGAGGTTTCTTTGGAAAGAGGAAAGTGGAACTCCAAAGGAATTACAGAAATGCAGGCTGCAATAAAGATCAATGAAAAAGAAAAAATTGTGGAAAATTTTGAATGACAATAACCTGTAGTAAACAAGGATGATAGTGGGGTTTAAAACACATGCAGAATCAAACTGCATGACAATAACAAAACACGCAGAAAGTCATTCACTAAGAAATGCACTTATTTACTGTCCATTTTGTGTCATCAGTGTTTGGCACGTTGGAGGGCACACAGTTTCTTATAGTTGTTGGTTGAATGCTAGTTGAAAACCGAGAGGGAGAAAAGAGAGGACCAGAAAAAGAAGTTTAATGGCAAAGCTGTGCTCAGCCCACGGATTGTTTTTGCAGACCAGAACTCTTGGTGCTGATTTAAGAGTCTAGATTTGCAATTAGACTACTTAGGGACTAGTGACATTTTAAACTACTTTCCATTCTACAAGCATACCTGAGATTAAATCTTATATCTCATTTCAAGAGTCTGAGCCCAGGGCAGTTCTCTGCATGCGAACCCACCTGGTGTCCAACTTTTATCCAAGTCCTGATACAATTACTTTCCACCTCTCTTCCCTAAATAGTCTTCTCTAAGTGGCAAAGCATTGAGAAACCCAGAGTAACCTCCTAGGCCTGTATGGAGGTTGTGGTTTTTTATATTGGCTCAAGCCCCTCTTTCTCCAACTGTTGAGGCTTTGTTCTGGAAGAAAGCAAGGTTGACGGAGGAGAACCGGGCAGCCTGTTGCAGGAACGTGCCTGCAGAGCTGTCAAAGTTCATTTTCCAAGCAATTCTTCCAGCGGTCTTAAGGTGACAAACTGCTTCTGCCTTGTGGATGATTTTGTTTTTAAAGGGAAAGCCCAGGAGGCTTCAGGCAGTTGCTAAAGGGGAGGGAATAAGATGATAGCTTTAGCTTTTTCTTTACCTCCCCCGACCTAACAAAAAGATCTGGCATGGAAGATGCAATATGGGACTGACAGACTGTACAATGAATTGATTCGATATGGAATATTTTAGCAGCCCTTTTATAATTTCCCAGACTCTTAACAATCAATTTTTAGTTCATGTGTGAATGATCAAGTAGGTCATGATGCTCTCCCACAAGGTTAAGGAATAGACAAGATTGATAGAGGCAACCTCTGTCAGCCAAGAAGCAATTGCCCAGAGAAGAGCCAGCCTCAGTTCTGCTATTAGATCACTTGATTCCAGTTCTTATTCTGCCTCTCAGAGGCAGGCTCTGAGGCCAATCATTTAACGTCTCTGAGCCTCACAGATAGTAATACCTATGTAACCTACTGAACATGACTTTTGGGGAAGAGCAAATGAAATAACATATATAAATAAGCTTTTTAAATTGAAGAGTCCTGAGGACAATTGAGGAGTCCTGTGGCTGGTTGTAGCCATGGGATCTCCAGCTGCATGCAAGAGCAACCTGGAAAGACTTTGACAGCACAGGTCAGTAAATACCTGCAGCTGCCACTTGGCTTTCCTATAATGTTTAAAAAAAAATGCTGCAAATATTGCAGATTGTGACAACTGAGGAATAATGCTCAGAAGAAAAAGCTAAGATTGTTTAGAACTGGAAAGATACTTAGAACTTTCTGGCCTAATCCATTTATTTTTCAGATCAGAAAACTGAGTGAAAGTCAAAGAAATAGTTGCTTTCCCAAATTAATGAAATTAGAAAAAGAGGGAGAACATTTCTCAAATCCATTCCAAATTCTTCAAAGAGTCCTCCTGGTGCACAGGGGTCAGGATTACCAGATTCCAGTGTTTACTATTTCTTGTTCTTTGATGTCCTCAGACAGTCCTGAGCTGGGGGAGGAGATTAGCAAGTGATCAAAGAGGAATGCTAATAGATATAAGCATCTATCTGATGTTTTCCTCCTGGCATAATATCAGGAATTTAAAAAGCACTAGGAGTCTCCTCTAAAGAATGAAGGCAACTTATCTGAAGAATGTTATGTCAATAAAATTACCTTCCAGTGAAAGCCTGGACACACCTCCTCGGAATGAAAAGTTATGCTGGATGCCACTTCAGGACCATTTTCTGAGACCTCTGTGGTTCACTTGTAGCTGTTCAAAAGTCAGAAAGGAAAGCACGGATCTCCAAAGGATCTGACATCACCTCAAGAGCATGTGGAAGGAGGAAGAGTGGACATTTGATATGTGAGCTGGTGCAGAACGTACCGCTTGCAATCAACACCAAGAACTAAGTACTCAGGCAGTTCCAGCTGAGCAGGTATGGGGGAAGCTCTTCTGAGAGAGTCCACCCCAGCATCCGTCCACCAAGTATTTATTGAAAGGACTTGTATTAACTACAAACATCCACTAGATGGTCATTTGAGGTGGGTTGCTGAGGCATCTGTGACCTTGTACACACTCAAACTGCATTCTCAGAAGGCTGTTTTCAGAGTTCCTTATCACACCACACACTCCACTCCCTGTCCTGTTTTCAGCGTCAAGGGGTTTCATTCCCATGCACAAATAACATACACACAGTGCCTCTATATTTTTCCATGTCATGACCTCGAATGCCTTGTATATAAGCTTGAATATGTTGCCATGAACCCTGTACATCTCCCCCTTCTTTAATTCTCAGAGCATGCTGGTCATCCAATGCAAGGTAAGCTTCTATCGTTCTTCCCTGGTCATAGATGCATCCGGTGGCAGCACAGAGCCATCTGCAGATGCCTAGCAAACAGATACAAAAAAGAGTAAGTATAGTGGTTATTACCCAAATGTGTATGTTTAACCCAGACAAACAAGTGTTCAAGTTTAACCATTGAAAGCCTTCTTGTAACTGTTGATGGGTACTTGTTTGTAATTGCTGCAACCATTCTTCAAGTTGTTTCTTTAATTCATAGTCAAGAGTAGAAATTTGAAAAGACAAATGGTTGTGATAAGCTCCTTGCAGATGTACTTTCCTAAATAACTGCAAGGTGGAATCTCCTTCCCAGTTTCAGGTTAAATTTACAGGCAGCCACAATTCCGCATGCCATTTTAAAATCATGACATAGGTTATATTTAACTGTGTAATGTTTTGATGAGACAAGCATGTAGCATACCAGTTACTGGAAGAGACTTTAATACTATAAAATGATTGATTCTGCTCTATGTTAGGAACACCTTGCCCAAACAGAAGTATATAAGGGTCCATAGTACAAATCAGGACTGTATCAGTAACATTATTGTGCAAAGAAAAGGTATAGTTGCCACCACTAGTAATAAATTCACCATGTGAAATAACTTGTTCAAAAAAGGGAAGTCTTAATCTCCAGATTTGGGTATGATCAGGGCTTAATGCTTATTTTACTTTTAGGTGTAATATTGGTCCTGAAAGCCCGTACTCTGACCAGGTGATAGAACTATTGGAGAGACTCCCAAATCCAATAGTCTGATTTGCAGATATAAAATAAGCATGGGGACCCCAATCAAGTAAGGTGCCATTATTAATCAGAGGCCCTTGACGCAGCACAGGGTGTCTTCACAGAGACCACTGGACGGCCTCAAACTTAAATCACCAGTCCCTACTCAGACGGCATATAGGGATATCAGGCACTCGCGTAGCTTCATTAGTGACCTCAGTAAGATTAGTAGTAACAGCAGAAGTAAAGGTCAAATTTGCAAGCTAAGCATCCCTTTTGGGCTGATAGTACAGATACTCCTGAGGAATGAGAGTAAGACACTTATCGTGTGCCACTGTGGAAAAACAAAGAGGGGGATTGCTAGACAATAAAGTCAAGGAGTCATTAAGTGTAATCCATCTCACATTTTCAATTAAGGGGTAAGACAGGGGCACCTATTGACCTCCTGTCCAAGAACTATCATGAAATGACCAAGCAGGTCAGCGTCCCACCATGTAATAACATTGAAAACAGGGGGATTGAGAACAGGACTCCAATAAACATGTATTTGAGTTGATGCCACTTGGCAAAGGACAAGAATTACCAGCACCGAACATCTGTGTCTGTCTTACTTTCTCAGAAGTTTCCCCAGTTACCGCCAGATACGTAAGAAATGGGTTCTCTGCACTTGCAGGGGCTTCCATGGTGACAAGCCAGACAGTTGCTTGTTGATCCAATTTCTTTAGCTGTCCTTGGGTAATGTCCGGTGCCTTCCGAGTCATCACCGTCATTGCTGGTCGATTCTCCAACAACAGGTCCTTCATGATTGGGAGGGGGTTGTTGTGGTCTCCTGTTCTCAGGGACAGAGCCCCATATTCCCCCTTTTTATTTATTAAGATATACTTTAAGAGTTTGATGAGTTTATTTTATAATAACCTAACCAGTTGAGTTATAAGGAATGCCAGTTTTGTGTTGTATGTGTTAAAGTTGCAGTGCATATGCAAATTGAGCGCTAAGATTGTAAAGTTCATTATTAGTTTTTATAGTTTGTGGAAGCCTAATGTTATAATAGATTTAAGCAAATGAATAACTGCATCTTTAGTTTTTTCTCCAGTCCGGGGGGTAGCATGTATAAGCCTGTATAAGTGTCCACGGTAATGTGGAGCAATTTAAAACATCCGAAGGGTGGATACTGAGTAACATCAGTTTGCCAGATGGCATAAGGCACCAGACCTCATGGGTTGGCACCAAGCCCTAAGGAAAAGGGAGCGAGAGAATGTCATTGTCGATTAGGACAAGTTTTAATAATCATGCGAGCTTGAGCAAGTCAAATGAAACTGTTGTTTAAGACTGTGGGTATTCTGATGAAAAAGGAAGCATGATCAGCTTGAGTTCACAAAAAGCAGGAGAATCTGCAAACCACATTTGGAGCCATACCAGAAGATCAGCTCGTGCATTCCCTTCTGATAAGGGACTGGGTATCCTAGAATGAGAGTGAATATGTGTGATGTAAAGATGGTGATGATGGGCACATAGGAGCTCTTGCACTGCAAGAAGCAAAGCTAGTAAAGGTTCATTGGTAATGCCCTTCACGTGTGCAAGAGCTAGTAATGCTATACACCCCATAAGCAGAATCGCCAACTATATGTATATTTTGATGAGGAAAGTTTGTAAGGCCCATATCAGGGCACCTCACTCCACCCGTTAAAATGTTCCTGGATTTTGTGCTGCCAGTGTTGCATGGCATCTTGCCACACTGGAGCTGGTTTTCCAGTTTTTCCTGAATCATCTGTAATGACAGTAGTGGAGTGAAGCAAGGACCCAGAGACAATAGATACAAATTTAACAGGCACAGTTTGTAAAAAGTTCAGGAACTTAGAGGCTGGCAAATGGAAGCTGATATTACCAATAAAGTCAGTCATTGCTATTTGCCAATCAAGATTATAAGCTAAAAGTACGAAATTGTTCCTAACAATAGGAAAGGAGTAGCAGGGTTATATTCTGACAATTGGACACAACGTCGGTGGCCCTTTATGAAAAGAGAAGCTATTAAATCTGTTGTCCTTTGTATGCATTTCGAGGGGTTATGAGACAGGTAAATAGCACATAAAATACAGAAATGGCCAAAGATAAAGCCGACCTGTTAAACTAAGGCATGGAAGAGATGGATATTTTAAGTGATTTTTACCATATATTGGCCTTTGAAAGTCATCAGAATGTGACTGCAAGCTGCCAGGGTAATAAATCTGCAATGAGTTCGTTTAAGTGTATAAAAAAAGAAAACAAACAACTTTAAAAAATGTTTTTAGGTGCTGGCCATTTTCTTGCATTAGCCTTCAGCTGGAATGTTTCAGAAGTGAGCTTGGGAAAGCAGGGCTGTGGCCAGTTTCTTCCCATCTGCTCCGGGCTCCTTAGGCAGCCTCACTTCTTAATAGCCTGCCACCTGTTGCTGCTCTTGCCTTGAGAGGAATGAAGCCCACAAGTAGCCGCAAGAGGCCAGAAAACAACCAGGTGGTAAAGTGTAGGAATATAAGCACGAAGGCAGGAGGCAAGAGGGTAGCAGGCTGGGAGAAGACCTCTCCTCTCATCCTCCAGACCACCTACGCTTGGAGCCAACCTTCTTAGGTAAGGTACTGAAAATATACTGGGCTTTTTGTTATTTTTACTACCCCCAAGCAGAGAGGCTCAGGGGAGGAGCCACAGGGTCTGCTTCAAAATTTCCCAGCCAAGGTGTTTTTAAACATTTTATAAAAAGCGAAACAAGCATCTTACGGCTGCATCTATCTTCTGAAGATGACAGCAGCTGGCATAGCTCATCCACCTCAGCCTAGCATTTGACATATGGCTATGGGAGAGCACCCCTTATCATTGGGCTCCTCCCCAGGGCTCTGTACTCTAGGCTGCTCCACACCCCTCTGCCCACCTTAGGTTAATAAGGTTGGGGTGCACATGGACTGTTTCTTAGCCCTTTCTATAGGGAGCTAGGGAAAACAAGGAATTGCTTGTCAGCTGAGACATGCAAGGGCTGTCAGGGAAGGGCAGAAGTAGGAAAAGCAGCAGCACAGCAAGCAGCAGGTCACTCTCTGGGCACAGTTACTAAGGCACGTGACTATGGTGAGGAGGATTCTTAGGACTGGGCTGGAGCTTCCT